CGATATCATCATTGTAATACATTTTACATACATATATGTAGAATTAATATATATATATATATATGTATACACGTATGTGAATCTATATGTGTACATATATATAATTTTTTTTAAATATTTTTATTTATATATAGATATATATATAGTGACATATACGTATATATTTATGTATGTAGATATATATATTATTTCGTTCTACGTGTATTTTGATATAAATATATATATATATATATATATATATATATATTTTAATATCACAATACAGTTACAAAAAAAAACACATCTATATATTTTTTAATTATTTTTTTTAAATTATTTTTTTAATTTTATTTTTAACGTATTTACATATTAAATTTTTTTATATTATATATAAATATATATATAACAATAATTATATATATATATTTAATCAGAATCAGTCTACGTGTAATTTGATATTAATATATATATATATATATATATATATATTTATATATATATATTAATAGTAAAATACACCTAGACAGTGTATGTGTGTGTATGTATATATATATATGATCTAAGTATAATTTTTTTTTTTTTTTTACACTGATTAATTTATGTTTAGAGCCGCCTAAAATAGGGCGTAATTGTACGCCCTCCGGTCTTAAAGGGTTAAGATGAATCCTTTGTTATATCAAACTAAAAGGAAGTAATTATCTTTTTATATTCATTGTTTATATGCTGCACCTGGGTGGCCTAATTCTGTTTTTTGGTGTATATTGTGCCTTAACTCGTCACCATTTTTTCACCAATTTATACCCTGTTCCAAATTATTATGCAAATGATATTTTTCTCATTTACCTAGATAATTGATGTAAATAACAGTCAGCATAATTCTCATGCTATCAACTATTAAGAGTACAATTCAAATTTTTTTTAACAAACCTCCTAATGATAACAGTATTTTTTTTAAACATAAAAAACTTACAATGCACTGTTCCAAATTATTACGCACAGTAAGTTTCAAAACACTTTATAGGTTGTAAAGAACTGAAATTGTCATTTGTTGTGTTTGCAGAATATTTACTGAAATCAAAAGCTATTTTAATCAAACTTATAACAACATTTTAACTTTTTAAACATTTTAACAGGTCACGTTACATTTTAACATAGGACCCCTTATTTGAAAGCAGCTTCACAAATCTTGCATCCACCGAACCTGTGAGTTTTTGGACAGTTTCTGCTTGAATTTGTTTGCAAGATGTCAGAATAGCCTCCCGGAGCTGCTGTTTGGATGTAAACTGCCTCCCACCCTCACAGATCTTTTGCTTGAGGATGCTCCAAAGGTTCTCAATAGGATTGAGGTCAGGGGAGGATGGAGGCCACAACATGACTTTCTCTCCTTTTATCCCCATAGCAGCCATTGATGCAGAGGTATTCTTTGCAGCATGAGATGGTGAATTGTCATGCATGAAGATGATGTTATTACAGAAAGCATAGTTCTTCCTTCAGTATTAGGGAAGAAAGTGGTCAGTCAGAAACTTTACACCGTCAGGGACCCTAAAGGGGCCGACCAGCTCTCTTCCCATGATTCCGGCCCAAAACATGACTCCACCACCGCCTTTCTGACGTCACAGCCTTGTTGGAACAGGGTGGCCATCCACCAACCATCCACTACTCCATTCATCTGGACCATCCAGGGTTGCACATCACTCATCAGTGAACAGGACTGTTTGAAAATTAGTCTTCATGTATTTTTCTGCTCAATGCAACCATTTCTGCTTGTGAGCATTGGTTAGTGGTAGCCGAATAGAAGGTTTATGCACAGTTGCAAGACTCTGGAGGACTCTACACCTTAGGTCCCCCCCTATTGGTATTTAGGGCCCCCACCCACCGTTCAGGGGTGGGGGCCAGGGGGAAGGACATTAGGCCCCCCTAATTGGTATTTCGGGTCCTCACCCACCACTCAGATGTGGGGATCAGGGGGGAGGACATTAAGTCCCTTCAATTGCTATTTAGGGCCCCCACCCACCGCTCAGGGGTGGGGGCCAAGGGGGAGGACATTAGGTCCCCCCCAACTGGTATTTAGGGCCCCCGCCCACCGCTCAGGGGTGGGGGACAGGGGGGAGGACATTAGGTCCCCTGCTCCAATTTTTATTTAGGACCCCCACCCACTGCTCACGGGTGGGGACCAGGGGGGAGGACATTAGGTCCCCCCCAATTTTTATTTAGGGCCCCCACCCACCGCTCAAGGGTGGGGGCCAGGGGGAGGACATTAGGTCCCTCCCTTATTCTAATTTAGGGCCCCCACCACCGCTAAGGGGTGGGGGCCAGGGTGGATGACAATAGGTGCCCCCCTTATTCTAATTTAGGGCCCCCACCCGCCGCTCAGTGGTGGGGTCCGGGGGAGGACAATAGGTCCCCCCTTATTCTAATTTAGGGCCCCCACCCGCTGCTCAGGGGTGGGGGCCGGGGGGGGACAATAGTTCCCCCCCTTATTGGTATTTAGGGTCCCCCCGCCGCTCAGGGGTGGGGGCCGGGGGGAGGACTATAGGTTCCCCCATTATTTTACTTTAGGGCCCCCACCCACCACTTGGGGGTGGGGCCCAGGTGGGGGAGGACAATAGGTCCCCCCTTATTCAAATTTTTTGTGGTAGCCGAATAGAAGGTTTATGCACAGTTGCAAGACTCTGGAGGATTATACACCTTAGCCCCCCCCTATTGGTATTTAGGGCCCCCACCCACCGCTCAGGGGTGGGGGCCAGGTGGAAGGACATTAGCCCCCCCAATTGCTATTTAGGGCCCCCACCCACCACTCAGGGGTGGGGGCCAAGGGGGAGGACATTAGGCCCCCCCAATTGGTATTTAGGGACCCCACCCACCGCTCAGGGGTGGGGGCCAAGGGGGAGGACATTAGGTCCCCCCCAACTGGTATTTAGGGCCCCCGCCCACCGCTCAGGGGTGGGGGACAGGGGGGAGGACATTAGGTCCCCTGCTCCAATTTTTATTTAGGACCCCCACCCACTGCTCACGGGTGGGGACCAGGGGGGAGGACATTAGGTCCCCCCCAATTTTTATTTAGGGCCCCCACCCACCGCTCAAGGGTGGGGGCCAGGGGGAGGACATTAGGTCCCTCCCTTATTCTAATTTAGGGCCCCCACCACCGCTAAGGGGTGGGGGCCAGGGTGGATGACAATAGGTGCCCCCCTTATTCTAATTTAGGGCCCCCACCCGCCGCTCAGTGGTGGGGTCCGGGGGAGGACAATAGGTCCCCCCTTATTCTAATTTAGGGCCCCCACCCGCTGCTCAGGGGTGGGGGCCGGGGGGGGACAATAGTTCCCCCCCTTATTGGTATTTAGGGTCCCCCCGCCGCTCAGGGGTGGGGGCCGGGGGGAGGACTATAGGTTCCCCCATTATTTTACTTTAGGGCCCCCACCCACCACTTGGGGGTGGGGCCCAGGTGGGGGAGGACAATAGGTCCCCCCTTATTCAAATTTTTTGTGGTAGCCGAATAGAAGGTTTATGCACAGTTGCAAGACTCTGGAGGATTATACACCTTAGCCCCCCCCTATTGGTATTTAGGGCCCCCACCCACCGCTCAGGGGTGGGGGCCAGGTGGAAGGACATTAGCCCCCCCAATTGCTATTTAGGGCCCCCACCCACCACTCAGGGGTGGGGGCCAAGGGGGAGGACATTAGGCCCCCCCAATTGGTATTTAGGGACCCCACCCACCGCTCAGGGGTGGGGGCCAGAGGGGAGGACATTAGGTCCCCCGCCCCAATTTTTATTTAGGACCCCCACTCCCTGCTCACGTGTGGGGGCCAGGGGGGACGACATTAGGTCCCCCCCAATTTTTATTTTGGGCCCCCACCCACCACTCAAGGGTGGGGACCAGGTGGGAGGACATTAGGTCCCCCCCTTATTGGTATTTAGGGTCACCCCCGCCGCTCAGGGGTGGGGGCCGGGGGGGAGGACAATAGGTTCCCCCCATTATTTTACTTCCCCCCTTATTCTAATTTAGGGCCCCCACCACCGCTCAGGGGTGGGGGCCAGACAATAGGTGCCCCCCTTATTCTAATTTAGGGCCCCCACCCGCCACTCAGGGGTGGGGGCCGGGGGGGAGGACAATAGGTCCCCCCCTTATTGGTATTTAGGGTCCCCCCCGCCGCTCAGGGGTGGGGGCCGGGTGGGAGGACAATAGGTTCCCCCCATTATTTTACTTTAGGGCCCGCACCCGCCGCTCGTGGGTGGGGCCCCGGGTGGGGGAGGACAATGACTTCAATGGACTTTGGGTTCGGGGTCAAGTTCGGGTCAAGTTCGAGTCCCGAACTCAAACTTTTTGCTAAAGTTTGGCCAAACCTGGTGAACCCGAACATCCAGGTGTCCGCTCAACTCTAGTTTTGATGCGTTCATGTCCCACTATGGAGCACTTGCGCAAGCTACATATTCCAGTTACACCATAAAGGCATACCATTTCTTAAAGAAGATATCCCAGGGTATTTCAAAAGGCATATTTTGAACCTTGGTGTAGGATCATTTTTCTGCTAGCTTGTACAAAGTGTAGTGGTAATAATACTGTATAATACTACATATGTTGCTCAGCTATGCCGTCTGAGTACAGCGATACCCCCGTATGTACTTTTACCAGGTATATGTGGATGTTGAAGGGGCACATTTGAATAAATATTTGATGTGAAATTAAAGCCCTATTTTCATGAACAAAATAATATATAATAATTCTAGGTTTTGTTTTGGCCAGAACTTGTACTATTCCCTCTGTCTTTAAGGAATTAATATGTCATAAATTATAATCCACAGGGGGTATTCAGTTGACAGTAGAGAGTTGATCTCGATTACTAGTTTTAAGTTAAGCTAATTATTGACCTTAAGTGATACAGAGTAAAAATAGAACAGAATTTATCACTGGATGTAAAAACATGTTATTAATTTCTCTATTCCCTGAGACATATCACTAGGAAACTATATAAAATAAGGAGAAATAATGTATGTTCTCTGTAATGAAACATAGACCCTGTGTGTTTCACTGAGTCATGTGTTACGTTATGTCTCTGAATCTGATATTATGTATTTTAATAGGTTATTGTTTACTGTTTGCAAGAACAGCTCTTAGATCTGCAGCTTCTTCCAACTCATGTAAAGTGCTAATGTGTCTGATCATCCTTTATATTACTCCTACAATCAAGACCTCATCATCGCCATGCAGCCTACAGCTAGTGCAATCGTATGAAGACTATGAATATTTTAAAGATGGAGACATTATCATTGGAGGAGTGATAACTGTGGGGGAATATGCGATTGATTATACATTTAAAGAGCGTCCTATGATTCTATGTATGGGGTAAGTCAGCTACAAAAAAAAAAAGTACTAGACAAAATATTGTTTCTATGCAGGTGCTTACTAAATTATGCATTGCAGCAATGTGAGAACAGAATAGTCAAAACAAAATACTTAAATTTGAGAACAGTTTCCAATCAAGCTGTATTACTCTAAACTTGTATATCAGCATTCCGCCCATGGTTTAGTAAATAAACCTCACACTGGTATTAGTTTAAAGCAGAGATTATTAAGCTAAAAAAACAGAATCCAAGGCTATGAAAGTATAAAACAAACCTAAAAGGGACAAATCTTAATCCGGTATTTAAAATGTGAATAATGAACAAATAACCCCAGTAGGTTAATAAATGTAAAATATGCAGTGTATGATAAAATACTTTATTAGATTACTACTAGTAAGGGAAATCATTGGTTGTTAATATCACATATTGCTTTCCTTCCAACCTAGTGTTTGTAAATTATTCTTTTGAAGCAATGTAATAAATGGTAAAACTGCAGATTTATATTTGAACTTTGATATATATTATATATATATTTTTGGCAACATTTTGTCTTATTTGTTGTATTATTTAAATCTCTAAATCCCTAAATGTGTGTAAATATATATACACACACACAAAAAAAGTGGGTATCTTGGCACTCACCCTTTCCAGATAACAATACATTTTCTGCTTGGATGCAATCCCACGTTGAAAGGATATATAAACAAAATAAAGAGATGCACTCTCAGGGTTTGTAAAATGAAAAAGAGGATTTATTCCAATAGGTATTTACATTAAAAAAAAAAAAATTACATTTTGACCCTTGAGAAACGTCATTTTTTTTTTATGTAAATACCTATTGGAATAAATCCTCTTTTTTCATTTTACAAACCCTGAGAGTGCATCTCTTTATTTTGTTTAATATATATATATATACAAAAAAAAAGTCTTGCACTCCACTTACTGGTGTCTCTGCCCGATGCTTATCGACATAGTAAAAAAAAGTTGATAAGCACCGGGCAGAGTGCACCCTAAAGCACAAACACACACGGTGTGTATATGTATGTGTGTATATATACATATATACACACACACACACACACACACACACATATATACATATATGCACACACACACATACATACACTGGTGTGTGTGTGTGTGTTTCAATTTCAAGTCTCACAGGATGTAATAGTTTATTTTAAAAACACCTCACCTAGGCAAAAAATAATTTGGGTTTTCCTACAGTATATGATCATACATTGCATAAGCCTGCCACAACGTCAATGTACCCCATTTTTGGCAGGACGTACTCTAACAACCTAATGCTTGCTCTGTGTGAATTGGCCCCAGCAGCACCTAGAATGTATGCATGTTCAGGTGAGTGCACTGCACATACATACATACATACATTTAATGATTTATTTGAGCAGGGCCTTCCTCATCTCTTGCTTCTGTAAATGTTTGCATGTCATTTACCTGTTGTCAAATATCCCCTAAATTATTCACTCTTTATTTACTGTTAAAATTCTAATAGTATTAGAGTTCTGGGTACAAGGTTTTCCAAGGTATTTCACTAAAGTGAGAATTGGAGAACTGTCAGAAATTCAAAGCAAATTCACAGTCGACTTGCTTATGGTGGAAACATTTGATTCAACTGAATCATTTCATCCGGGAAAAAAAAAAAAATGTGCTTAGTCCATGCGGCTTTTCAGTTCAGACCAAATTTCTTGACCAAATTTCTTCCATGCGAACAATTTGGACAAAGCAAAAGGGCATGAGAATTCACCTATCAGGGTACTGCAAATTAGATTCATAATATGTATATGAATTTATATATTGCATTTCTCATTTATTTTTAGCATTTAAATTTGGTTCACATTCGGTTTTCAAATATTCTGTTTCTTTTGAGCATTTGGTTCCGAATTTTAATTGTTCTGTTTGGCTGATCACTTATATTTTTCTTTAGTTATTTGATTTAGTGCATGTCTACTAACCATTAACCCCTTAAGGACCAGCATGTTTTTGCGATGTTGTATGTTAACAACCAGGGCTCTTTTAACACTTTTGTGGTGTTTGTGTTTAGCTCTAATTTTCCTCTCTCTCATTTACTGTTCCCATACAAATCATATATTGTTTTTTTCAGGACAAAAAGGGCTTTCTTTATATACCATTATTTGTATAATGTCATATAATTTACTTTAAAAAAAAAATATGGTGAAAAATTGAAAAAAAACATGTTTTTTTTTAACTTTTGATTGAAAAATATTGTACTTACCTACGAAAGCTAATGTAAAAAACTGCTGAATAGATTAAAAATGTTGCCCTGAGTTTAAAAACACCCAGTGTTTACATGCTTTTTTGCTTTTGTTTTGCAAGTTATAGGGCTATAAATATAAGTAGTAAATTGCTGTTTCAAAATATATATTTTTAAAATGTATCAATAGTGACACTGTAACACTATTATCTGTCATAAATCTCTGAATCACACACGTACATATTTTTACGTACATATTTTTTTTAAAGTACACAACCCAGGGTAATTAATATGGGGTATGTCCAGTCTTTTTTAGTAGCCACTTAGTCACAAACACTGGCCAAAGATAGCATTCATATTTGTTTGTGTGTGAAAAAAGTAAAAAACTAAATTTAACGCCAATTTTGGCCAGTGTTTGAAAAAAAAGTCTGGACATACCCTATTTCCAATACCTTGGGTTGTCTTCTTTTGCAAATGGTATGCCATCATGGGGGTAATTCTCATTCCTGGGCTACCATACGCTCTCAAAGGCAACGTAACCAACCTGCCAATTTTCAATTTAAAAATATTTGACTGTTATATTTGACCCTGTAACTTTCAAAAACGCTATAAAATCTGTACATGGGGGGTACTGCTATACTCAGGAGACTTTGCTGAACACAAATATTAGTGTTTCAAAACCGTAAAACGTATCACAACAATTATATCATCAGTAAAAGTGCTGTTTGTGTGTGAAAAATGCAATAAAAGTCACTTTCACTGACAATATCATCGCTGTGTTATGTTTTACTGTTTTGAATCACTAATATTTGTGTTTAGCGATGTCTCCCGAGTAAAACAGTACCCCAGTATCCCCCATTTACAGGTTTTAGGGTGTCATAGAAAGTTACAGGGTAAAATACAGTGCTAGCAAATTAAATTCTCTGGACTTTTTGCCTGGGTTGTCAGGCAGGTCCCTCAAATTGAAATAAATAAAAATACTAAAAAATAAGTATTACATAAATATTTATATATTTGAAGTCTAGGTGTATATTTATATAATTATTTATGTAATTTTGTATATGGACATATGTATATTTCGTATTAAAATTTATTTATATGTACGTAGATATATATACAATTTCATTCTAAGTGTATTTTGCTATAAATATATATATATTGATATCAAAATACAGTTAGAATAACATTTCATATAGATATATAATTTTTAAAACATTATTATTATTTTTACATATTTTTATTTAATTTAACTTATTTGTATTTTATAATAATATATATATATACACACACACACACGTGTAATTTAATTATAAGTGTATTTTTATATTAATATACACTTATTATGACATATATACACACACATATATATATATTAAACGTATATGGTCTTGAGAAAAGTCCCTGGTGGACTGAAACGTTGACACCATTTACTGGAAATTTGATGCTTTGAATAAACAGCACGATTTGAAATAATCCTGTGAGTGCACTTCAAACAAGGATTTATATTTTTTTATTAACATTAACCTTTATTTTTATTTTTTATTTTACACTTGCAGGGAGACTGCCTGTCAGCACAGAGAGTCCCCCTGCAGGCAGACAATAGGACACCTATTGTGGCCATGTGATCACTCTGTTGAGCGATCACATGGGCCCCAGGGTATTAATTCACCATGGGGAGACTGCCTGGGCTGCAGTCAGTCTCCCCACAATGGGAGCACCGCCGATTGCCGCGGGGAACGACAGCGATCGGGTAAGTACATAATACCGTTGTGACGGTTCAGGACCGCCAGCGGTCGGCAACGCTAAAATGCCGATGACTGTCCTGAAGGGTCTGCGGTCGATCATCTATTTTTGGGATGCCATGGGCAGACTCTGAATCACAAAACGGCTTCATTGTGCTAAAATTTGTACGAATCACGACTTAAAACCAAATGAAGATTTTTTTTCCAGTTTGCTATGAATTCCTGACATTTTTCATTTTAGTGAATTACTCTGTTAATGTAGTTGCACCAACAACTGTTAAGATTTGTCTGTGCTACTGTGTAGCAGTGCTTTACAATTAGGGGATATTTGGTAACAAGTAAATGACATGCAAATATTTACAGAAACAAAAGGTGAGAAGTGGTAGTGGCTTTTTTTTTACTGAGTCATCCAATATACTAGTGCTCCTCAACTCTCTCCTCAACAGTGCAGGATTTAGCAATTACCTAAAGGTGTTTAAAAAAAAAAAAAACACCTTATTATATATTATACATACATATACAACACATGGGGAAACACATATAAAGAACATATAGAATAATAATAATAAATGTAAAATATTATTTGGTAATTATTTTAAATAAACAAAAAAAATCCAAAATAAAATGTTAATCTTTGTTTTCAATAACCCCTTCACACCAGCGCTTATGTATACATGACTTCCACGCTACGTAACCATACCCGGCAATTGTGTATAAATGATTATCATAATTGCAAGTTAAATGTGTTTTTTGCAAATTAATTTAGTTTGCAAATTATGCCATAACTACAGAGCGCACAATGCAGTGGCCCAGGGAGCAGCTACAATGCAAGCCTCTAAACAATGTGTATTGCTTTTAGACCTGAGGAAGAGAGGTAAACTCTTGAAAGATTGTCTTTTAAATATGTTAGTTCAATTAAAAA